ATCATCATTGATTTCACGCTGAATCTTCATTGTTTTAGCGCTGGATAGAAATTTTCAAATGTGAAACTACAATTAGTTGCATTTATATAATTATAGGAATCAAATAGTACGGATAAAGGCAGTTTGTAAAATATTACTAACTGTTACTAAGCGTGTTAATAAGTTCAGTATTGTCAACGTAAAAGTTACGTGCAATCGTGAAACCAAGCTGATTCATCGCAGAATCTATTAGGATTCCGCATTAAATTAACGTTGCAAATTGACACTGATTTTAGTTTTTCAATCATGGCAGATTTAAAGTAGATCTATCACTGATATATTACTAATTTTACACTTACTTTGATGATGATGATGATGATGATGATAATGATGATGATGATATTGAGTAAAACAAAAATAAGATATAAATTAGATAAAAGATTTGTATAGTGAATTTTTTGTAAAAATACAAGAAATATTAGTCATAATCAAAATGGTGTTAAAGATTATTGTACAATTAATATGACATTTCTGTTTACAAAACATTGTTACTCATTTTTAAATATGCATAGGATCAAGTTGATAAACAAAAAGATATAGACTAACAATGTACATATGAAATCATACTCTTAATTACGAAAAAATTGAGTCTAATCAGAAAAACAGTATATGCGTTTTAACAATATATGCATTCACACGCAAAAGTACACAAACAGAAAAGCACCCAAAAGTAGACAGAGCGAGATGTAGGGATATACAAGAACAGAATATACAAAACATAATATTGTTAATACATAACTTTTTTTTCCTACTCGAGAAAAATCGTAAAAGAACCGTTAAAAATGAAAATTTCCTTTTCCTGACTGTCAATGACGTCACTCGTCAGTCACATAAACCTGGGAGATATAAAATATGGGTATTGTATCATTGTATTTTTCCATAGTACTACTTAGTTCCAGAGGTTTCAACAGAATTTTTTTTCAACCACTTCACTTGAAGTGGAGTTATCTTATTTCTATGTATGTTTATCCAGAGGGTACTTATGCGGACAATCACATGTATGTAAGGGTAATTATGAGGACAAAAGTAGAATTATGCCGCCGTCCGCATAATTCCATCATGTTATCGATGTATATGTTAGAAGCACGTGAAATCTGCATAAGTCACTTTCTATAAAAAAAAACACACACACACACACACAAAGAGAGAAAGAGAGAGGTGTGTGTGTCCATTATTACATACATATGCATATGTAGCCTGCCTAAGTAAAAGTTTGAGATGTTTTCATCGGTACAAAGAATGAAACTCGTGTGTTTCATAAATTTTATGCATTGTTCATTAATCTATTACAATAAATAATGCGAATTGCTATAATTTGTTACGTATTTGTACCTTGATTTCATTCATATCATAATAGATGACACCTCAGAAGGAATCGGATCCTTGTAGCCTATAATCTTACGAACAAAATAAGCCAAAATTCGTATTGATTGAGGGAAAATTCGCGGGAAGCACAAATTTTGATAATTTTTTCAGATTTCTGAATCACTGTCACCAGTTTTCTGCTGCCTCGCAGGCCGTACCTACCATGATGTAGGTGCAACTAAACTTTGGTACATCAAATATTAAGATACCGTCTGTTAACCATGACAGTTTAAAAATTTGTAAAGTAACAGTTGTCTATTCAAACAAAAAATTTATCATGGTAGTTGTACATATGCCAACTAATTTTCTTTCAATATACGTGCATATTAACAGGTAATAAGTCCTCCTCTCAGTGTGTGAATTCGAGATCAGCAACCTCAAGAACACCCGTACATCAAATTTGGAACAAATCAGTTGATTTTTAAAAATTTTGTCTACCATATTTGATCTACCATTTTGTATTTGGCAAATCTTACTTGATTTTCGTAATCAGCGACCTAAAAAATCCTTGTATACTTGATTTGGTACTAATTGGTTAACTTTAACAACGTTTTTATGTATACACAGTAATGTGACTATCGAAATTCACTATACATGTTCATAAAGAACATACATACAAAAAGTCGTCACAGGACTAAGGGAAACGGATTCTTGTAGGTTATGATTATATGAGTAAAATAAGCCTAAAATTGATTAAGTTGATTGAAAACTCGCGGGAAGAAATTATTTTGATAATTTTTTCAGCGTTTGGGACCACTATGCGTTGTGGGGCTACCAGAGCAAATTTTTTTACAATAGCAAGCCATGAAAAACAAGCCTAAAGAGTTCGGACAGCCAAAATGACCTATTCTTAGTGATCATCTCAATTGCGTACCA